CTCAGCCGAAGTCCCTACACGTGCTCGGTTGCGTAATACTTGCTGATATGAAAGACCAAGTCCTTTCTAAGCCATCCAACTTGTAAATACCAAACAGTTACACATCAACTCAACAAGAATGCCAAAATAAAATGTAACACTACATACCCTCTAAATCAAAATGAGGCTGAGGAGATTTCGGCAAAAGAACTAGCAAGGGCCATGATTTCCCCCTTGATCAACATCTCGACCGGATACTCATCATAGTTCCGAGGTACCTGGGTCCAATAGAATGGAAATAAAGGCTTCCCCTCGTTATCGTAGAAGTAATTTCGATCGGCTACGGGGTCTATTATGACCTTCAGGAATCCGGCCTTAAACCCCTTAAAGGATGAATAAAGGGTTTCAACTAGGGTCGATCAACATGCCTTATTAAGGATAGCCACTTCACGGCCTTATTAGAAGGACGGGTACAAAGGAAGTGCAAAAATAAGCCTATAGTCGGTTTTATATAATGGTATTTACACAACACTCGAAAGGCCTGAACTGCCGCCCACCCGTTCGAATGCAATTGAGTCGGTGCAACATTCAGCACACGCAACACACCCATCTGTAAATCGTCCAAGGGTAGTGACATTCCGAGCCCCTGGAAAAAACATTCATACATGTAAAAGAAATCTCCCTGGTCATCCCGCTTCGCAAGAAAGACGATGTCTGCCTCCCCAGGAACCTCAGCAGGCACCGGCGCAGCATGACCAGATAAGGATCCATATCCTCCCAACGGGCCAATCGACAAACCCTCAAGAGGCGCTCCACGGCGGCCATCTCATAAAAACGTGAGAAGTAGGCCGCCACCTCGCCGTCCACCCACTCATACCCTGGGATCTCACAGGGAGGGAACTTTTGTCTATAATCGCAGGGATCCATCTCGGCATCTGGTAGGTCAGAGCCGGACGAATCTCCTGAAGAATCAACATTATTACGTAACCCTAACCTCTTAGAGGAATCCTCCAACAACTTTATCTCGGTGTCATGTGCCAAGTCCCTTGCACCAGACGAAGACTAAGACGACAACACTATCCCTTCGACGACCATAGCTTACCCTAGGAAATCTGATCGAACACCTAACAACCTACCTTAACTAGTACTCGGATTAAAGCTACAAACAGGACTTTGGAGCAGAGGGTTATTGTAGTGAAGGCGTGATGTTGTGTATTTTACTCGTATTTTAGCACTTTAATTCCTTTTGTTACAAAGTTATGCTGTTTGGTTTGAAGAACGCGGGGGCAACTTACTAATGACTCATGGACAAGATCTTCCACCAGCAGATCGAGAAGTGTCTAGAAGTGTATGTAGATGACATGGTGGTAAAGTCTGACTCCACAAACAATCACATTAAATACCTAAAGCAGGTGTTCGATGAGGTAAGAAAGCATCACATGCACTTGAATCCGGCAAAGTGCACTTTCGGAGTTTCCAGTAGAAAGTTCCTAGGATTTATGCTCTCAAAAAGGGGGATAGAGGTTAATCCCGATAAGTGCCAAGCCATCATCGACATGAGGAGCCTGTGCAACGTTAAGGAAGTACAGCGCCTAGTGGGGCGGATAATATCATTAACACGTTTTTTGCCATGTATGGCGGATAAGTCTAGACCAATAATGTTGCTATTAAAGAAAGCCCGCAAGTTCCAATGGACCAAAGAGTCTGAATCGTCATTCCAAGAATTCAAAGCGATGCTTGCTGCACCACAACTTTTGGCTAAGCCGGACCCCCAGTCAGACCTCATAGTTTACATAGCTATTCCTGAAAAGGCTATCAACGCTGCCTTGATACAAGAAAGAAAAGAACAAGTTCTAGTGTATTTCATCAGCCGAGTCTTGCAGGAGGTAGAGACCCGATACCAACAACTTGAAAAGATAGTCTTAGCATTATTACAGACGGCCTGACGCCTGCGCCATTACTTCCAAAGCCACAAAATAGTGGTAAGAACGGACAACCCCATAGCCAAAGTTTTACGTAAACCTGAGCTAGTAGGCAAGATGGTAGCATGGTTGGTGGAACCATCATAATACGACATTCGCTTCGAATCAAAGGGACCTATCAAAGCTTAGAGCATGGCTGACTTCTTGAATAAGTTCCATCCTAAAGCCCCCTTAGAGAAAGTTGTGTGGACATTACACGTAGACGGATCATTAAACCTACAAGGCAGTGGAGCTGGGGTCATACTTGAAGGACCGATAACATGGTGATAGAACAATCACTACGCTTTAACTTCAAAGCTTATAACAATCAAGCCGAGTATGAAGCCTTGTCAGCTGGTTTTCGTCTGGCAAGTGAGTTGGGGGTAATGAGAGTTAAATGTTGGAGAGACTCTCAGATAGTCACAAAGTAGATCAATAAGACATTTCAAATCAAAGAACCAACATTGCTCCAGTATTTCCATGCTTTTCAGAAGCTTAAGTCTACCTTTGAAGAAGTTCACATAAGCCATACCCTTAGAGAGCTCAACATGAGGGCCAATCGATTGGCGAATTTGGCAAGTAGTAAGAAGACGAACCAACTCCGTAGCGTGATACAACAAGAATTGCAAAGTCCAAGCATTGTAGAATCGAAGTGCTTACAAATCCAACAAGGGGATAAAGATTGGATGACCGGCATCATCAACTACCTATTGACCGGAGAATCACCCACCAACCCACTTGAAGCCCGAAAGTTAAGAACAATAACTGCGTGATACACCCTGGTATCAGGCGAGCTGTATAAAAGAGGTGTCTCATCCCCACTTTTGAAGTGCTTGACTTCGGACCAGGCGTTGTATGTCCTCCGTGAAATCCATGAAGGCATATGCAGAACTCACTCAAGAGGACGGATAATGGCGACTAAGGTCCTCTGAGCCGGGTACTACTGGCCAACTCTCACCGCTGATTGTGCAAAATTCACCCAACAATGCAAGCCATGCCAACAGCACGGACCATTAATTCACCAACCGGCAAAAGAGTTGCATTTCAATACAACCCCGTGGCCTTTCTCTGTTTGGGGAATGGATATTCTAGGGTCATTCCCACCAGCTAAAGGACAAGTAAAATTCATGATAGTAGCAATCAACCACTTCACCAAGTGGATCGAGGCAGAAGCATTGGCCACCATCACAGCCAACAACATCCAAAGATTTTTCTAGAAAAACGTTATCACCCGGTTCGGAGTTCCATACGCGTTAATGATGGATAATGGCTTGCTATTCACCGACCGTCGCTTTAACGAGTTCCTAGAAGGACTACAAATCAAGCATAGGATGACATCTGTAGAACATCCCTAGACCAACGGTCAGGCAGAAGCAACAAACAAAGTCATTTTGAAAGAATTAAGAAGGCGACTTAGACAAGCAAAGGTTCATGGCCCGACCAATTACCTGAAATCTCGTGGGCTTACTGCTGCACTCCACAGAGTTCCACTAAAGAGACTCCCTTCCGGCTAACATACGGTACAGATGCAATGATCCCGGTGGAAATAGGAGAACCCTCTTTAAGGCAGTGACAGTTCAACGAAGAAACCAACGCCGAGGCACTCAGTGTGGAACTGGATCTGATCAACGAAGCAAGAGACCAAGCGCTCATCAACATGGAAGCATGTCGAACAAGGATAGCCAGAAAGTTCAGAATAAAAGTCAAGCCAAGGGAATTTCAAGCAGGAGACTAGAGAGCGAGGCAGTCCCTCCCTCCGTTACAATTCACTATAGGGGTTTTCCCAAAATCTTAATTAATTAATAATTAATTAATTAATTTCCATTTTCTTATTTTTTAGGTTAGTAGTAAGTAGTTTTGCCAGGAGAAAAGCAAAAAAGAAGGGGGAACGAGTGAGTGAGTGAGCTAGTGGCGAAACCCGCTCACAATTTGGCATCAAATTTTGAAAACCACCCCACACACACACTTTCACCCTCCAGCGCGCCCTCTCATCAAACTCCAATTTCATTTCTCTCTCTCTTCTAATCCCAATCACAACGATTCTGTTCCCTTTCCCTCCAATTCTAGGGTTTCTCTCAACGCTAGGGTTCCCAATTCTCTGGTCCCCCCTCCCCCATCCATGGCCACCGAAACCCTAGAAGACTCCAAGCCTCCGCTCCACGACGCCAAATCGCCACCGGCCTCCGAGATTCCGGAGAAGGAGGCTTCCGCGGAGGCCGCTAAATCCGAGGATGATGTCGACGGAGCAAGCAACCGGGAAGTAGAAGAGGAAGACGCCGGCGAGAAGAAAGAGATCGACGAGGACGATGAAGAGGAGAAAGACGACAACGACGATGAGGAAGAAGTGGAAGAGGAGGAGGACGAAGCGGAAGAGAAAGAGAAAGGGAAGGCTAAGGGAAAGGGACGCGGCAAGGAGACTCCGAAGAAGAGTAAAGCATCGGAGAAGAAGGATCCAGTTACGCCGGCGAGTGAGAGGCCAACGAGGGAGAGGAAAACGGTGGAGCGTTACTCTGTGCCCTCGCCGGCCAAGTCTGCGAGATCCTCCGCTAGTAAAGGTTTCACAATTGAGAAGGTACACTTTATATTATTTATTTAATCTAATTACTTAATTGTTTATTTTCTGGGTTCGTGAGGACTGGAGTGGAGTGTTCATGTTTTGAATCGTTTGGATCTGTTTGCTTTTTTTTCTTCTTTCTTTCAGGGACGTGGCACGCAGCTAAAGGATATACCAAACGGTGCGCTTAGTTTCTCTTCTCAATTACTCTGTTGTTTCCTTCTTGTTGTTGTAGCCTTTCATCTTTAATGATTTCAATGAGGGTGCTGAGTTTTACTTGTTAATAATTACTTATGGATCAAGTAATTGTGAATGTTGTTTGAGGCTTTCTGTGATTAGGTCTGGAGTTCGAGCAATTGTGTTTTGAAGTGATGCCATGGTTTACTTGTTGTTGATGGTGTTTTTCTCGCTGTTCATTTCCTTTGCACTTTGTTTTTCATGTTTGTTTGTTTGTTGTTTTTTCTTTTTTACAATGATTAGGCTGCTGGGTTCCTGGTTCCTTTGTTTAAATATGTATAACCATTAGGTTTTAGATGCTTGCACCCTCAATGATTATGGATTTTAGTGGTTACTAGTGTGTTACTGAAATTGAAATTTTTGTCTCCTTGATGCAGGATATTACTCTTGCTGACTTAGCCCCCACCCACTTGATTAGGCTTAGGCTTGCTCTCAACTTTTTTGTGTTTTATTATGAAATCCTTAACTCACCAGATTGTGCTTGTAATCTTGCCAAACAGGTATATACCTCCTAGTTCATTTAATGAATTGAATGTGTCATGTGCTTGATTAATGTATGCCTCCTAGTTTCTTAACTACATGTAGCTTTCTATAACATCCTTTTTATTTTCTTTTTTCTCTGCATAATTACATAAGCATATATTTCCAAGAATTTTTGAGAGAGATGTTTAAATTAGATGTTGTAGAGTACATGATATCCATTTGTGGTGGTTATGGTCTAAGGGACATATCTTCACTTGGAAAAAGTGGCAGCATCTTGTTTCTTTCTCAAGATGATATATTCGTGTTATATGGAGAAAAAATGATTGCTTATAAGTCCATCTTTATCGATCCATCAACACCAAAAGGAATTGCTAGTGTGCGCTTGTGATTTGGTGACAATTTTCAAGGACAAAGTTCATGAAATATAATGCCAAAATATCTAACGAAAGCCACATTATGATAGAGTTTTTCTAGATAAACACCATATTGGAAAGTCTAATGAGTGAGCTGCATTGGTAGATTTTGGGAACTTCAAAACAAAATTGTGGCTATAAAAAAGTTCTAAATACATGACTCATGACATTGCACCATCTGTTATGAAATTTCAATGATGTTTCTTTTATCTGTTTTGATGCAGGCTGTGATATTTCCCTGCTGCTATTGTGGCTGCGGTGCTTTAGATCATAGTTGACATGCCAGCGATATCAATTATTGCCATATGCAAAAGCCTAGAAAACTGATTCTAACTTTTTACTGTGTAAGAATCCTTACCTTATTTTTCTTGTTGCGTGATTTCTTCATTTAATTAGGTACCTTCATGGAAACATGCTAACTGGTCCAATAACGCCTGTACTTGGCAATATGTCTATAAAAATAAGCTATAATCTAGTATATAATAATTCTAATAAAGTTGTTAAATATGATAATACTCTAGTATATAATAATTCTAATAATTCTTTCTTTTCTAATTATACAAGTTTAAATAAGGATAAATATTATTTTGAATCTAAGTCATGGGTGTTGGTTCCTCTGCTTATGTGAATCCTGTTGCAATTCATATTTAAATATTTTTTTTCATTCTAATT